AGGAAAGACATTCAGAAAAATTGGATGACCTCTCTATGATATGTACCAAAGTTCCTGAGTCAACAACTAAAATTTTCAACGGGAAACACGTGATTGACTTGAACCATTGGAATACCATAAGTAACCTCCTCGGTATTTTGACTGAGCCCTCCAACTTGATGAGGATCGCCCGCCACCCGAAATCCAAGCACTATGGCGATGCCAGGTTTCTTCGGTCGTGCTACACTCTGTCGTTTAGGTGGAAGCAGCGTTTCTTTCAACTGCTCGTCTGCAGAACGGACTCGTCCTAGTCTGCGTCTTTCCAGACGTTCCATGGGGCGAGCACAAGTGAGCAATGCAGAGCTTAGGAGTGTTCCGGCTAAACACCGCAGTCGGAAACTTTTTTTGTCCACGGCGTCCCCCAGTCTCATGAGCGCGATGAATGCGAAACAAAGGCACATGACCAGGAACGGTGGCGCCATATTCGTTTGACCCTGCTCCTGAATTAGGTTGTAGCTACTTCACTCCCGAGGTTTCCAAAGAGAGAAAGCTACAACCGATGTGACACAAGGGTAAATAAGGTTGCGCTACACAATAGGTAGGTGGCACTTACGCTACTGGAGCTTTGGCATTCACTTAGGAACCGAGTAACAATCAGGCACCAGTTCAAAGCGGCGAGTGAAAGCGTCGTCAGACTTAAAGCACCACCATCACAGACAAACAAAGTTATGCTCTTACCCTAGGTTCACATCGGAAGCAGGTCTGAAGTAAATAAGAATCTTCCCGTGCAATCTAGTAGCCACTCCCAGTGCCTTGTCGGAATGGTTAATCACGTTGCCTTTGAACCTAACTCCCAACGACTCGCTGATAATACCACAAGAAACGGTTAGTGGCCGACCATAAAACGGTTGGCATGACCTCACATTTTAGCTACAAGTGTTGCAGATCGTTGCTGAGGAGCGAAACACATTCCTGCATGTACAAGAATGCTTAAGACCTCCTCATCATAATCGTCGAGCTTCGGTGCCGCCAAGAAACAAACGCTTGGGCTCTCATCTCCATAACCGAAACTTGGATGCACCCAGGGGTTACGGTTGCCGAGATCGCAATTCAGGGAATGTCCTTGTTCCGACACGATCATCCCAGTTTCCGGCACAACAACAACTGCTTCGTGACAGTCGTATATCGCTCCCGATCGTCCAATCCAGTGATGGATTTTCACCTATTCTGATCACTGACGAAATGTTTACTCCCAACTTACAGCCACGTTCTTATCTCCGGCGATTTCGACGTACACGACTTGGAAACTTCGGCATTACACAGCCACAGGTACAAGGCCAAAATGAAAGACCTTATCGCAAGTATCCCGCTCTAAAATCATATCATCTCACTTACCAGGTACAAAGCTGAGGACAAACCATCGGTACTTAACCCCGTACCCCGTAAGGAGGAATCATGGTCGACAGGTCATTTATAGACACCACACTAGGGCTAAGCGATCATCTCATCATACCTTATAACTATGTGTGTTACGTTGACTGTTCTGAGTATTACACAAAACTAATTCGTACTACCAAACATTAGAACATGCTGATGGACCTAGCTGAGACAATCGATTGGGAATTCTTGAAAGGTGGCTCACCTGACAGCGACTGAGTTCAGTTTGTTGGGCGCTTCAGCAATTTAATTGCAAGTGCATCAGAAATGAAGAGGGTTATCTCCACCAATCTCTCGTTCTTCATCAGAAGTTGAACCTTCAAGCGTACGTCAATTAGGAATGCAGCTTGGAACACTTACAGAGCTCCTCCTACTCCCGAAACCTGGTGGGATTACGTGACCCAGCACAACCATTGTGACATGCTTGTCCGTGAAGACAAATTGACGCCTGTAAATTTGCCTACACTATCCGGAAATTGAAGCTCAGTATTTTCCCACTTAACACACCAATCAGAGTGGCACAGAGTGTCGTAGAGGCAGCCAACGCCCTAAGAATGCAGTATGCCCCAACCTTTCAACGCGACGTCCGCCCCCTGTTACATACTCAAGTCGCTAGCCCTAACTACATTATACAATATGCTCGGTTTTACTGCTAAAGCTGTATTGAAGGATATGCTTTGACTACGCTATCTTGGAATCGAGTATATTCATCCAAGTGCGCTGAATGTAGCAGCAACAACGCTGGCCGAGCCATTATCTCATTTGTTTCAAACAAACTTGGATAAGCAAATTGTGCTTACCATGTGAAAACATGGTTTAACCACTCCAATTTTCAAAAGCGGAAGTCGCTCGGAACCCTCTAACTATCGCCCAGATGTACTCATCCATGTGCTCTCAAACGTGATGCAGGCAGTCATCGCTGAGACTTTAGTGAACCATCTAGAATGCCACGAAATCATAACACCCGAGCAACACGGATTCCACCAGTACCATTCAAGCACCACCAACCTACTGCATGCACACAATAGTTGGACGGATGCGGCCGATACAGGCAGAGGGACAGCCGTCATTTACCACAACTTCTTTAAGGCCTTCAACCGACTAGACCGTCTCATTCTCCTTCACCGGTTCGAAAGTTATAGAGTTATTGGTCCTGTCTTTGGGTGGACCAGGAATTTCCTGCATGATCGTCAACTGCAGGCCAGAGTTTGAAGTGTGCTGTCCGATCCGATGTATGTAGTATGTGAATTTCCATAAGGAGCAGTTCTAGGGCTGCTTCTGTTTCCTTTGTTCATTAACGAGCTTATGCTTTTGATTGCTGCAGATTTCTTGCTGTGCGCAGATGACGTTAAGACGTGGTGGACGGTCAACGACGCAGCAGATCATGTGCACTTCAATGAGACCTGGACAGAGTGTACGGATGGGCTTTGCACAATCTGCTCCAGTACAATTCGGGGAAGTGAACATCGGATACAAGTTTGGGGACCATGTCCTGTAAGCACTCACCCAGGAGCGCGACGTTTGGGTACTGGTCCAGACTGATCCAGATCAGCCTGCTCAAAATAATCTGAGAAGGCGTCGAAGATTGGGAATTAACACGGTAGCATGTTGCGGACGGCATTCACGCGGTTTGATACCATTGTCTATTAGCAGTTGCTTAACACATATGCGCGGCCTCATGTGGAATACACGATCCAGCCATGGCAACCCTGGCACAAGCAAGTCTTTGCAGCCTTCAAGACTCTATGGTAACGAGCAACGCAGCATGTCAAATGGTGCTACATTCTACGTTGTTAACTCAAACTGAGGACTCTAAACTTATAAAGTGGCCGGTAGCGTCGCTTACGTGGTCTACAGACTCTAAGGAACCCAGTCATGTCTGACGCCACCTACGGCAACTGAGCCACGACACGAACTTGAGGGTCCACCAGTTCCATCTAGCTACGCAACACAGTCGGCTAGAATGTCGACGGAACTTTTACTCTCTTCGTGTATGTCACTCATGAAACGCCCACGCAAATTATATTGTTCCCGCCGACACTTTACCCGCATTTTAAGAAAAACCTTGACGTTTCCCTAACCAACCTACATTACGAGATCTAGCCTGCGTATCACGACAAATGATATAATACGACGTAAGTTGCACAACCAGCATTAAGCTACACGACTGAGGTTGGCCATTTCTGCACTGTGGTGAGTCCACAAAAAGGATTCTCATTTTATCACCGTTTTCTCTTCACCATGTTGTGGTTCGCATTCTGGCCACCCTAATGGACGTGCTATGCCTCCGCTTGTTGTGCGTAATATACCATTGTACCATTGTTCGAATAGCTACTAAGCAAATCGATCCGTCCGCCGTTAGATGGTTTTGACCGAGCAATACCGGCCGACAAGAGAAGCCTTAATGTGCTAATGGACAAAACTGACTGCGTGAAGAAGGCATCAATACTGGTCGGAGATGTGAACACCTACCAGTTGATAAGTGAAGGCCCTACAAAACACCTAAAATGTCAGATCGAACGAACAGTTCGGAGATTGGAGCGGATGAGACAGGTCAAGAAGTTGGCACGCATCAAGATGAAACCCGGGGATTCAGTGATACCACCGTTCTACGGTCTACCCAAAGTACACAAAGATGGGATCCCGCTTCGCCCCATCGTGTCATCACCCGGGGCACCGAATTACAAACTGTCTAAGAAACAATGGAAACGGCAGAAATACCTAATCGCAGATTTAAAGCATTCAATCAAATCAGCAGAGCAATTACTTGGAAAAATTAAGGGAACAAGAATAGGAAGAGACAAGATAATGGTATCCTTTGATGTTAAAGCTTTGTTCACGTCGATCGACAAGAAGCTAGTAAGGCAAA